AAAATCTGCCCATCACTAGATATGTTCCTGCTGCATAGGTTTAGAAATTAGAGTATATTTCGGCTTATGTTATTTAAGCTGAAATCATTTATGTGCAGAATGTTATCAATTTGTGTTACTTAGCCTAGTTTTAGAGTAAATTAGTTCTATTGAAATTATCGCAATTTTAACACTGCTCTTTATGAATAAAGCCTCCTAATGTCATGGCTATTGTAGAACTTACAATTTTTATTGTCGGCCTAAGATAAAAACTGTTAGTTATAACAAAGGGAGCTTCTATTACTACCCTTTTTTTTTTTAAAGCTAAACACTACAATAAGCCATTAGAGATTTGTCAATATCATCTATTGCTTTCAGAAATTAACCTGCAGGCCATATTTTCACAGCAAACACTTTTTAAGAATCAGGGCGTCTGGTTTACATACAAAGTCTATGGCACAGAGGAGCGTCCAACAGCACGATGCAGGTGGGGGCTCTTGCAGCATTTCCAGCATCTACAGCAACTGACGCTGGAGTTGCGAAATCTGAATATTTGCAGCTGCATAGACTGATTCAGAAGCCAGACACTACATGGAAACCTCAATCGCTTTGTAGAGCTGTCAATATAAAACTATGAAAAATGGATCTAAAAAGAGGTTAAACTCCACTGTTCATCAAAAAGGAGAATGGATCTCTAATCATTTCTGCTCCACAAAATTATTTTTCACTAAATTGTAGCAAAACAGTTTATAACACCTATAATACCAAAACCTGATAGCAAAAATTTTAGATTTTACATTCTGATACTTGCAGTTTGCAAACACGAACCTAAAAATATGCTTCATATTAACTTTCAGCTGTTACGAGTGGCAGCATGACTAGCTTCATAGAGCTTTCACTAGGGAGTCCCTGCACTAATACCAGTATTTGAAGGGCCTGCTGCTCAGAAAAAGAACAGAATGTTGAAGTAGGACATTATTCCTGCTGAACAAACAGCAAAGAAGATATTTTGAGGGGTAGTATCTCGCTTAAACATGCATTAAAACAATTTATCTAACTCCTCAAAGTAAAAACAGCATAACGTCTGGATTGCAAGGAAAAGAACACGGCAGCTTAACATCCGGGGCGCCGAGCATCTAAAGCAGCAAACATCCAAAGGGTCTGACATCCAAATGCGCAAGCATCTAAGTTAAGGCATTGGATGCCTTTTTAACACAAAAAAACGGGGTTGTGTGAATGTACCATTACAGAAAGGAAACTATGTTACCATACTTTTAAGGAGCTACAGTTCCATCACACACCTTGTTATCATTCATCATGTTAGCAACTTTTACACACATTTTAGGTAGTAAAATGTCTACCTGCTCTCAATTTTAAAAGTGTGTTGATGAGCTTAAACGTGGGCCTAAGATAAAAACTATCAGTAGTAACAAGCAAAGCCTTCAGTTATGCTTTATAGCTTGATCGATTAGCATCAGGCTTTTCATGATTTATTGTGTCTAAATAAGTCATGCCTTAATCCTCTTCTTACCAGGATCGTTAGTGGTGTAGCACATATAGAAGGTTAAATGGTAAATGGCCCGCACTTATATAGCGCTTTTTCAAGTCAGAGGACTTGACCAAAGCATTTGACACTACATTCAGTCATTCTCCCATTCACACACACTCTCATACACTGATGGTGGCAAGCATGGTGTCGACAGCTGCTCTGGGGCTCATTGACAGAAGCAAGGCTGCCGTTCACTGGCGCCACCAGTCCCTCCGACCACCATCAGTAGGCAATGCGAGTGAAGTGTCTGCACAACTCTGTCCCTCTTGCTGTGTTTGCTCTGTGCAACCCCAACACTGACTCTTTCCCCGTGCGATTAATAGATTTTATTTTGTATTTTACCCTAAATGTGTTTTAATTTGTAACTACGTCTCTCCTGTTAGAGTCATGAAATTGCTGCTGAATTGCTGCGCAGTCAGGCTAAAATAGACATGTTGTCTAATTCAATGGGATCTATGCAAGCCCCATTGCGTAAAATCATGTCATAAAATGTCTATTGACTTTCAATGTGCGCTAAACGACACAACCTTATCTGACACCGTTTTCTGTCGGATCGACACAAAATCGGATTCAGTGTTTTCTGGCCTTAACACAGGTGTGTCCCTTTCCCGTTGATTCCCAGTGATTTCAAATCAACTGAAATTTTCCACAGGTGGACTACATTTGACTATAGAAACATTTAGTGGAAACACTTTGAACCACAAATCAGTTTTGAGCTTGATCACAAAGGCTCTGAATACTTGTGTACATTTGATTTCTTTAGGTTTTTGTGATAAATTAGTAAAAAACTTAAAATGTTTTACCTTTTATAATGGGGGCTTTGGATTTTGAGGACAGAGATTGCTTCAATGCCATCTGGAATGAGGCTGTAACAACTAAATTTCGAGAAAGTACAGCACTATGAATACTTTCCCAATTTTCTTTATAACCCAGTGTACTGCTTGGATACCATTTTTGTCGTATGTGTAAGTTTGGCATGCCGGTAACATTTTTCCTGATGTATAGCCTTCCACTGACCTAAGTTTAACAAGCTGTAAAAAGATTATATTTTGAAGGCTACAGGGAGAATGAGGGTGAACAGAAAAAATCAGTAGGGAACACCGATATAGAGGATGGAACTTGGAAACATTTACTGCTGGCTTTAGATTTATTTATCCTGCCTCATCCTTTGACATTTTAATGTTAGTTCCACCAAACATTTTACATGACATTTAATCCCAAAGCAGCAGTTTTTCCTTTTTGTTCCATCATAGAAAATCCTTTGGCAGAGTTCACATTCACTGTGTCAGCATAAGCTCCGCAAGAAGCATTTAGGTATCGAGTCATTTTATGGTTAAGATGCTGAAAGCTGCAGAAAGAGCTTTGGATAGCAGATACTCTACGACATTAGATCAACAAACAGGTCAGAGGGTAAGTATTTATTCAAGGTTAAGGTGAAATAAACTATAAATAACAGCTTTTCGTTCATTTTTGTATCAATTTGCTGCTCTGAGAGGAAACAACCTTGAGAGAAAAAACACAGAATTTAAATATAATCTTTAAACTAAAGGTTTAATCTAGCAATTTAAGTTTAAAGTAGCTGCTTTTCAGTTAATAGAAATTAGGAAGTTTTCAAAAAGCGCATCCTTAGACATCCCAGAAATCCTAAATGTTTCTAACAGTAAGTGGACAATAAAATCATCAATGGGAGAAGCCAAAGAGAATTACAGTTTTAGCAATGATGTTTTAGATCAACTCATCCCATTTTACTGGATTTCCCTGTGGATCTTGCTTGTTATTGCTACAATTAACTTCCAATTACGGTAGTATATTTCAGATAGGCCACACTCTGAGAAGCATGGAAGTGATTCAAAGATCCTGGACGCAGACCATGTGTTTGTAGCAGAGTGGGCGTGAAGCTGGCGATGACTCAACACAACTCATCCCGTCTCCCACATTTTCTGTCAATGACTAAAATGTGTAATTGAGTCAAGATTGCATTAACATTAGCAATGAAAAGATGAGGGGATGAATAAATCCTCATCTCGATAACTGACTTTCACAGCTGTCTCCACATGTGAACTATGGGTGGAACAGAGCTCATCCTCAGCTAATCAAACCCCAAGTGTAATTACCCAGAGGGATGAACACCTTCAAACTCACAACTGAGGCATATTTAGTTCAACTTTATTTTTTTATCATGCTAAAATAACGTGCTACATGCGCAGCAGATGCAAAACGAATCAGAGTTCATTAATTCATAATTTACCAGGGTTAAATGCCCGGTGAAATTATTTAGGATGCATCAAGACTAGGGCAGCCATTAAAACCTAATTAATCTATTCAACTGTTGGATTACTCTAAATTTCTTTCAAATTAAGTTCCCTTGATTAGCAGCCTTTTCCTATATTACCATGAAGGCCAATGTGTTTGATCAATAAAATATTTAAACGCAGTATATTTGATAAAGTTCACACACTTTCCCTAAGTTTTAGGCACATACTGTTTAACTGATGCATGTTCACATGGTCAGATAAGTAGCATAAAGTGTGTGGAAAAAGGAGCCCAACTCCAATGTTTCCTACAGAAATAATGGAGAACCACAGATAAGGTGGGAAAAACTCAAGACTTTTGCACAGTGCTTTACATACAGTAACATATAACAAGTGTATTAAGTATTTATATCATATATAATCAAACTGGTATGGCTGTGTATTTTTAAAAGTGAAGAAATTCTCAGGAGTTTCGCCTTCAGAGTTTCTACCCGTCTCATCTAGTCTGTTGGTAAATAATGAACCAGTCATATTATTTTTAGCAGAGATAAGAGGTGAGCTGGTTTTGAGATTTTTCATGGATCTTGAAACCAGCACAAAAATGCAAATACAATATATATCAATGTTTAGTTTACTTTACTAGTTTTTTACTTATTTTATTGCAGTGCATGCAATTCTTGTTAAAAATCTGAACACTTTCACGAGTCTGAGTTTGTTGATTTTTTCTGAAAACATCTGAGGATCAAAATGATAAAAAAATTTAATTTAATTTATCAATGTCTCTCCTGTAGCTCCACCTTAAACAAATGTTTTTATGTTACTCTCGGTATGGTTCTGTCATTATTCTGTGGATATTTCACCGACTCCTTTAATCTACTTGTCAGAAAAGGTTGATTTCCATTTAAATTGCTAGATTTGCTAGTAAAAAAAATACAGATACAGAATTAGACACAAGCATAATCTGTGCAAGAAAAAGCTTTAATGGCCTATTTCAATGAGGCTAACAAGACCCATGGCTGATGTGAAATGATTGCAGCACGTCAGGCAAGAGTTAAAACAGTTACCAGAGAGAATGGGTGCCAAAAATGTGACCAACTCAAAATGCAATGGAGATGAGGCAGGCAGACATGCAAAGACACAGGGAAGTTATCCTATTAAAAGACAAATGTTCTAAGAGGCGCAGTTTTGCCCCGCAACACAAACACAATGCTGGCACTGACCTTGAAGCTCCAGTAGTTTGGTTGTTGCTAAAGGGGGGTGCATAGAAGGGGAAGATAGAAGGGACAGGGAGGGAAGAGAAGGGAGAAACAGGAATGAGAGGGTGAGACTTTGTAGTCAAGTATCAGGCTGTAAAATGCCACACAAAGTAAGATTGAACAAAACAAGAGGCTGGATCAAGAGCAGGGAGAAAATCACGCTCCGTTCCTTAGTTCCCATGTGAAAATATGCAAGAGATACAATGTGAGATAATAGGATAAAAGATAGATGACTCAACCTGTCAACACCCCTTTATATTAAAGAAGATTTATGGTAAGGTTTTATACGTTTACAGGAGCATTCTTAAAGAAGTTAAATAAAAGGTGCTCTTTAGTGCTAATTTGTATACCAGCTATTTTAGACTAAACCTTTTAAGGTCAATCCTTTCTCCGCCTTCTAAAGGGTGTGCATTTATAAGACTGCTGACAGGATCTTTTAAATGCAACTAACTATTCTTAGCATGAAGGTTCAAAACACAGCACACAAAGCAAACCTTAAAAACACAAACAAAACAGACAAAGGCTGAGTTTAAAGAAACACTGATATTTGCAAATCAGCTAATTTCTGCTGTGCTCCATCAACAAAGTAGGAGGCTAGTTTAAATAAAATATTTTTTTCATAAAAAAAAAAAATATCTTGTATTTAGGCTGCTCATATGGGGGAATAAAATCTGGAGACTATTTAAAAAATGACACATTACCTCACTTTGCACAAGGCCAATACTGCTTTCAGTGACTGAGGAACTTTGCACAGAATAACGAGCTATTGGATTATTTGTCTCTGCCTTTTAACAATTACATTTTAATAGGGGATCTCCAAACAGAAACTCTAAGAATGGTGTAATTTTATTGCAACACCACTAGTAGGCTGCAAGTATTTGAAACTAAGCATATTTAAAAACACTCCTATGTTCTGCTGATTAGATTTATACTGTGCATGTTGCAGGGCTTTCCCAAACAGTTTCTCCAAGTTGTTTCCAGAACTTCACTCTGTAGCCCTTTATATATTTTTTTTTAAAAGGCCATCTTTCAGAGAAATATTTCCCTGTGTTGTTAAACATGATGATTAGAGACGCAACAAAACTCGAGTCGTTTACGTGTTGGTTCGTCTCTACATTTGGTTTTGTCATGGAAAGGAATTGTTGAACTAAGAACTCTTGTCTAGCCTATTAAACTCTGGACATTGACCTTATTTCTGCCTCCTGAGCAATGCCTCGTCTAGTCTTGTCTACTCTTCCGATCCTTCTCCTCAACTCTGTTTTATTTGATATGGACCTTTATGTTCCTGCACCACAAACCCAGTCTCTCCCTTGGAAATCCAAAATGGTTAACCTTTTACTGAGTCAGTCTCTGTACTTCCCTTAGCTTCCTTTTCCACTGAGTATTGTTACACTTGCTCTCAAAGAGATCCAAGCCTACATTGACACATTCACTGGACCAAGCCTCTCTCTGGGCTTTGCTGAGGAGCCCACATCTAGTAACCTTTATTCTCTAAGGACTTTGAGAGGAGGTTCCTTCACCCGAAAGCAGGGAAATGCTGATAATGCTGCCACTGTGTCTGGTTGAATTTTGAGGCCTTACTCTGATAAAAAATATATATATATGTACACTCCAATATATATATATATATATATATATATATATATATATATATATATATATATATATATATATATATATATATATATATATATATATATATATATATTGGACATATGCCTTTCTTTAATTAACATTTTCACCACCGGGATGTTAAAAAAAAGGACTGTCTTGATCAGCTGTGGAGTCCTGTAAAGATTACACACATAAGGAAACACAATAATGGACCAAGCAGTAAGGACAGTCAGGCACAGGTGTATTTAAAAAAAAAAGGGTTCTTTTATTAAACCCAAAAAAGATAAAATGTCACAAGTACAAAGTCAAAGAAAAAAACTGAACTAACTCAAACAAGCTGCCCTGCCTTATTGACACAAATAAAACCTGAAATAATGGCTGATCAGTTCACAAAAGAAACACATGAGGCAAAACATACACAAACCTAACTCAACCAAATGAAGCAAAACCCCATTTCCCCCCCATAGCACTGATGTGGTATAGTCCAAATTAGCTCAGCCCTCAGCCACCTGTTGGATCCTCAATCAAGGGATTAGAGCAACTGAAACAGAATCATAACAGAACAGGGTAAACCAGAATGTGCAAACTAATTTTAAATACACTGCAGTGGTGATAAATAAATTCCAAATAATGAAATTACTCTGTTAATGAAACCCTATATGAAAAAGAAACTGAATATCAAATGATATTTGTTACCACATCTGTGTGGCTGTAAATGCAGCCATCACAATCCAAATACATAAGCAATACTCATCTGATCAGCTACTTGAGGTTTAGTGCCTTGCTGTGGAAAGGGAATGCCTGATTTAACTCAAACTTTTTCAAAATGATAATATTGCCCAAGGAAATTGACCACTGATAATTCTCCACATTTTCTGGTATCGGTTCTTATAGTCAGAATACTATTCCAAATACTCTTATCCACTTAAAAATGTTAACATGTTTAATTTGTTAATGTTACATTTTTAAGCCTGGCTGATAGGCTTCTGTTAGCTTCCAGTCTTAGTTTTATTACAGAATTACTTTAGCTCATTTAGCCTCATTTTTATTGTCTAAAAAATAGAAAAAGTATAAAAGCAACCAGTAGTGCACAGCAGCAGGTAGGGAAGGGGCAACACGATGCCAATTTATCCTTAGAACTCCAAGGGATCAAAAATGTTCTCTCTAAAACAGAACAAGATAATTAATTGGCCAGTTCTGTACAGTTCAGAAATAAAATTATCTGAGGGTTATATTTTTTTCCTTTAAAATGAATACATTATCATTTAAAACTTTGATAAAAGCCTTCCTGCTGTAACCATAGAATTAAAAAGGTTTTACAGTTTTATAGAGCTCAAAATAAAACAGTTCTGAGTCATTTGTTAAAATAATTATTGAAAAAAACATTACAATGTGGTCTTTAGCTGCCTTGATCCATTTTAATCATTAAATCCAATCAGCTAATATGCTGGAAGTGGTAAAATCTAATATTTAAACTTCTGATCTAAGTAACATTAACTGTTTATGACTGATGCCAGAAAACCAATAAATTATTTTTTTAAATAATCTTCTGGATTTGAAAATCATGATTTAATTATTACAGTGATGGCTAAATTAATTTACGTCATCCTCCGTTGCCACTGTGATAGAATTTTAATTGGGTGTAATGGCCTCTAGTAGGTAATCAACATTCACAGTGACTTCATGCACATTTTAATGATGCAGGCCCAGACAGCTCCACAGACCAGTCTTAAGGTCTCTGTTGATGAAGAGCCAGCTGCCATTGAGCCGGCATTAAAACAACGCACAAAATCCTTAATAGCAAGCTGGTGTTTTTCATTCCACGTGGAAAATGCCCAAACGTCCATCCCACATTTCTACTGTACTGAACATCCAAATAAAAAAACTAAAAAGACCTGAGTATTTTTTCTGGATTGTGACCCATTTGAAAAGTTTTTCAATCTGTGATAACACTTTACATAGGAAGTTACAGTAGTTTCCTTCCTTGCCATGAAAAAAAAGAACAACAGCTCATTATGTATGATGATGGAGCCATCCTGACCCAGCATGCCTAATATCAGCTATAATATGATTGAAATCCTCTTTCAGGACCATAGAGCCTTAGGAATCTAATTGGTGAGTAAGCAATACTGATCGTCCTAAAGGTAGCAAGAGCGAACCAGGTTGGAATTTGCAACTCTTCAGATGACTGGGACACCTGTTGAGAGGTAGACCAGGGGTTTTTTGTTTTTCTTTTAAGTTGAAGAAGTTCCCTCATCTTAACCACAAAGGAAGCTTCTTCTCAAACCCCACTCATTGGTGCCCTGCAGAGATGTAATTTTTGAGCGGGGTCCCTGCACTTCTTCAAAAGTCCGTTTTGGTCCCCTGCAGTCTTTACTGTCCAAAAGCAATGTTACGCTACAGTACACCACACTCATTTGGCTCCAGGACCAGGCAGAAAGCCGCAGCTCAAGCTGAAACCTGCTTCCCTGAGTTTAGACCACCCACAAGCTTCTGATTGGATCTCCGTCTTTTTTATGTGTGATTGGGTGTCACGGCTGTCACTCCTGAGAGGCTCACTTTACAAACATCAGATTTGTCACTGAATCTGGTCTGTGATTGGACACAGCACTATGAAAGTTGAGGAAACAAACAGAGAAAATCTACTAGAAAACATGTTGAACCCCCAGTTTTGAAATAAAAATTTTGTCAATGAGGGCCTGTGATGTAGACATCATGCACTCTACTTTAATACTCCTATACCAAATAAAAAGATGAATAGTTTAATACCTTAGAGCGGAGGTCTTTAACAGGGGGTCCACGGATGGGGATCGCGAAAGTTTTGGTTGATTAGACATTCTTTTTATATTCCCCCTTGCACTTTTTTTCCTCTGATTGACATGCTTTAAATACACAATAAAGCCAGGCATACACTGTACGATTTTTTCAGTCATTGGACGCAGCTGCTGCTGTCGTACAGTGTGAGTTCACAGCTTACGATGCATGTGCGCCCCGACGCTCTGATGCGATCTACCTGCTCACACTGTACGTCTAAAAACCACATCGGACTCAGCAATGGAGAAAGATACCACTACTGGGACTCATCTATGCGGAAGCCAAATGAGTAGAAGAGCAATATACAGGTGCTGGTCATAAAATTAGAATATCATGAAAAAGTAGATTGATTTCAGTAATTCCATTTAAAAAGTGAAACTTGTATATTATATTCATACATTACATACAAACTCATATATTTCAGATGTTCATTTTGTTTAATTTTGATGATTACAAATGACAACAAATGAAAATCTCAAATTCATCATATCAGAAAATTAGAATATTGTGAAAAGGTTCAAAATTGATGGCCCCTGGTGCCACACTCTAATCAGCTAATTAAC